GACACATTATCCATAGTTGGCAGAGATTCCGCCTGGTGGTTCCAGCAACTGTGCCATGCTGAGCCTGGTCCTGAGGCTTGCATTGACTTTTTTTTTACTTATTTTTTTATTTCTATTTATTTATTTATTTATACATACTTGTAGGTGGACAGCATGGCTTTATTTTGTTTGTTTATCTTTACGTGGTGCTGAGGATCGAACTCAGTGCCTCACATGTGCAAGGCAAAGAGCTCTGCCACTGAGCCTCAACCCCAGCCCTTTGCCTTGACTTTTTAGGCTGCTTCTCTGTGAGGATGGCCTGAGGCCTGAGCCTAAGCAACTCCATTTTAAAACTCCAGTTTGAAACCTGCAGTCCCACCAGGCACACCTAGGGAGCCCTCCAGTGTGGCCCTCAGGCACAAACAAGTCACTTCTCCCCACCCTAACAAGCTCAGAGTGAAGTCTCTGTCATGTTGTCCTGACCCCATAAGGAGGAGAGGTGAGAAAATCAGGGTGGGGTCCACCAGATCAGATGCTTTAACCTCAGGAAAAATGACATCACTGAGAAATCCAGTAGCAGCTAATAGGGATTCAAAGGGGGGTCAGAAGCCCCAAAATTTAGTACAAATGATGGAGCAAGTGAACAGACATTCAGCAGCTGACACTGATGCCCACATGCCGCAGAGCCTGGTGAGGACCTGGACCGACATCCCAGATCTTCTCATCATTTGCCTGGTCCTCTGCATCTTCCTCACCACTCTCACACCCTATGGCCACATCTTGACCCTGGTGAGAGCCACAACTTCTCCCTACAACCCACTGCTCAATCGGCCATCAGCTCCACCCCAGGAGAAGCCTGCCTTGGTCCCTGACCTGATCACCACAGTCTGAGTGAGTGGGCATCTGCTGGACTTAGAGCCTAAGGCTTGAGACTTTTGTTCTGACACTTGAGCTTAGCACACAGAGGGAATGTCTGTCATGATTAAGTGTGTTTGCAGTGCTTAGAATTAATCTAGAATTATTTGCTGTGAATTGATTATGTGTATTGTAGTGCCCAGCATTACGGACTGTCTTCTTCTTGATTAAGAACCTATAGAGTGAAATTGCATTGAGTGATTTGAGTGAATAAAGCATTGAAAAGGGCAGAAGCACGTGGACATTCTTTATTTCTCCCCTTTGACTGTGTAAGTCGCACCTTTTGCCATCGTGACATTCTCTCACCTCTCTGCATCTCGTGGCCGTCTGTTGAAAGCTGGACATCTCTCAGGCAGGAAGAGCTGAAGTAACGGAGCCTTTAGTACCAGGTTGTATGCTGCTCTGGCTGTGAGTCAGGCAGCAGAAACTTGGTGTAGCTGTGGGTGACAGAGGCTTCAAGCACCCATGGGGACTTTGTTTGTCTGGCCCTTGATGTTGGGTTTCTGTCACGATTGTCCCCCAGCATGCACTGCCACTCTTTCTGCTGCGCTTCCCTGTTACTGCCATTGATGTGGTGGCAATGTGTAGGGAGAGGAGCTTTCTATGGTCTTGACAACCTCAGTCTCCGAGGGTCCGCTCTCCCTGGACTGTGACCCTCACCAGCATTTCATAGCTCCCCGCAGGTACAGAGACATGCTAATGAGGGCAGATTGCAGGGTCTGGAGCGTCGCCAAAGGCCCCTGTGTGGTGATCCCCAGCATGGAGATATTGGGCGGCAATGGTCCCTTCAAGAGTGGGAACCGGTGGGAGCTCCACGGGTCACTGGGATGTGCTCCCCAGGGGACTGTAGGATCCTGCCCCTGCTCCTCTCTTCTGCTTCCTGGTGACAAGGTGAGCTGGTTTCACTGCCGTGTGCCCCCACCATGAAGTGCCACCTGGCCCAAAGCAGCAGGACCAATGGATCCCGAGCTGAAATCTGGCCAATGATTAGCTGGAGTAAGCCTTGCTGTCTGAGCCCCTTACTGCAGGACCCTCAGCAGTAGGAGCAGCTTCCTGGGCAGGAGGCAAGGCCTGTGTGCCTGTGGTGCCATGCCCTCTGACAGGTGCAGCACCCAGGGGGTCTTCCTTTAGGTCCCTGGCTGTGTCTCAGATGCAGCTGGTCCATCTGTCTTCCCTTCCTCCCCACCCGGTGCCCTCCCTCACTTTCTTTCTTGAATTCTCTGTGCTTCTTCTACTTTAAGTCCTTTACACCTTCTTCCTTGTTTCTGGTCCCACCCTCCTCCATGAGGCTTTGAAACTTTCTAACAGAGGCTCCTGTATTTCCCTGGGAGTTGGGTGTTGGTATCATGGTGATATTTCTTTAACTTGGGTCATGGGTGGACACAACTACTTTGGGTACTTACACTTTGGGGGAGAGGAGCTCACCTTTCCTCTGCGTACCCTGTGATTTCTCTCTAAGTTCTCTTTTCTCATTTTCTCTTATTTTCATAGCCACTGGGCTGCATTCCACACGCCATGGAATCCAGCCTTCCGCGATGTTCTCTGACGTTTCCAGCCACCCACTGTCAATGTCGGGACACTCCTATCCTCTGAAAAGAAGCCCGTGCCTGGCCACACTCTCTCCACTCCCTCAGCCTCTCATCCCCACAGTCACCATCTGCCCATCTGCAGAGCCACCTGCCCTGGGTCCCCGGTCCACAATGCATGGATCTCTCACCTGGAAGGGCATGTGTCCCTGCTTGGTCCCTATGCATTGCCGAGGAACACCCCCCACCTGGATGGCACACCTGGATGGACTTCGTGTGTTATCAGCTCAGTAGACGGATGTTGGGCCCTGGGTTCCACAGCAGTGGCGGTGGCTCCAGCCCTCCACGCTCTTGCCTGCTCTGGTGATTGTTGTCTCTTTACTTCAGCCTTTCCAGCAAGGATGCCGTGCTACCTCACTGTGGTCTGGTGGCTGACACCAATTGTCTATTCGTGGCTTATTGGCTTACTGGTGTATGCTCCTTGGAAAAGTACCCATTCAGGGGCATTGCTCATTTTCGATTGGGCAGCTCATCTTTCAACTGTTGAGTTGCAATATTGCAGATACGAGTTCCCTTTCCAGTAGGATTTGTCAGTACTCCTCCTCTGCTGGGAGTGCCCTTCACCTTCCAGGTGGCACACTCGGAAGCACAGGGGTTCAGTTCCATGGTGTCTACCCATCTGTGTTCTCTCTTGTTCCTTTTGGAGTCATATCCTAGAAAGCTTTGCCTGCCACCAGGCTATGAAGATGTGCTCCTATACTCCCTCCTAAAGGGTGGGAGCTTTCACCCTTCAGTCACTCAGACTGTCCCAAGCCAGCAGGTGTGCAGTGTGGGAGGGGCAGCCTTGCTCTCAGGATGGATGTCCAGCTACACCACGCTGTTTGCTGAAGGCTCTTCTTCTCCCACAGAGTGATTTGTTACCACTGTTTACTGGTGAGGAGTCCTCGCTTCCCCAATGCTGAAGTATAACACCAGAGAAGCAGGCCGAGGCCCGTGGAGAGTGGACAGTGGAAGCTTTATTAAAGGTCAGCAGAAAGGACTTCTCCCCGGAGGAAGAAGGGGACCCAAAAGGCGGAATCCGTGGAAGGGGAGGTATCCCTCTTTTATAGCCAAGGTCTTCTTTCAGCTCTCCCACACTCCTGCCGTGTTTCCCGTCATCTCTCAGTGATAGAAAGCAGGTGGGAAGGCCCAACAGGTGGGGGACAGTGGGCTGGAGGAGTCACCTGGGCAGGAAGGGCCTGGGCAGCTTTTGGATTAGCCCCTCCCTGTTTGCTGGGAGCTGCTTCATTAACAGTTCCAATGGATGGGCTTGGCCTTGGGGACATTAACATTTCAATTTCCCCAAGTTCTGCTCTGCTTTCCTGGACTCCATTCTCGAAAATGGCCTCCATTTTCTTTATCTCACTGGATATTAGACCCTATTTACCTAACTACACTAACTACCTATCTGTAAATCTGGCTTCAGTGTCAGCACCGTTTTGAGCATTGATTGTCTGTAATGTTAAAATTCATTTCTGGACTCAGTTCTGTGTCACTGATCTACTGTCTGTCCTTATGCCTGTACCATGGTGTAGCTGTGTGGTAAGCTTCTAAATCAGAGAATGGGAACCCAGCCTTGTTCTTCTTTCTCAAGGTGTCCTGGCCCCTCCAGACCTCTTGACTTCCCATGGGCTTAGCACTGGCTTATCCACTTCCCCTCCCCCTTCCTCCCCCTTCCTTCCTTTCCCTCCCCTTCCCTCCCTTCCTCTTCCTTCCCCTCCCCCTTCCTCTTCCTTTCCCTCCCCCTTCCTCCCCCTTTTTCTTTCTTCCCCTCCCCCTTCCTCTTCCTTTCCCTCCCCTTCCCTCCCACTTCCTCTTCCTTCCCCTCCCCCTTCCCACCCACTTCCTCTTCCTTCACCTTCCCTTCCTCCCTCTTCCTCTTTCTTCCCCCCTTCCCTCCCCTTCCTCTTCCTTCACCTTCCCTTCCTCCCCCTTCCTCTTCCTTCCCCTCCCCCTTCCTCCCATTCTTCCAGCTGTGCTAGGGATGAACCCAGGGTCTGCTGCACAATAGGCAAAGCAGGTGCTCTGCCACAGAGCTGCACCCCTTCCCCAGCTTGTAGACATCTGCCACAAAGCCAGCTGGGATTTCAGTAGGGACTGCATTGGATCCATAGACCAGAGAAGAGTCTGGCCACTTTAAATGTTCAGGAACAGAGGATGCTTCCCATTTGTTCCTCTCTCTTAAAAACTCTTTTGTAATGTTTTCTAGTTCACAGCATATGAGTTTTGCACTTCTTTGTTAAACTTGTTCCTAAGTACTTTCTTATTTTTGATACTGATGTAAGTAGAATTGCTTTCTTCGTTTCATTTTTGATTGTTTGTTGTTGGTGGATAGAAATACAATTCATTTTGCATATTTGCCATATACCCTCTAACTTGCCAAAGTTTATCATTTTCATAATTCATGTGTTGGTATTGTTATGACAGGAAAAATACAGTAAGCGGGTGCTGCACAATACCAACAAGTCACACCCCTAGCACATAGGCCTCCATGTGAGGCACTCGGCCGGGTGGGTGGTGAAAGGAAAGTGACCACAACACTCAGAGCGACCAAGAGAGCTTTATTGCAGCAGTGCAACAGAGGAGAAGAGAGAGAGAGAGAAGGAGAGAGAGAGAGAGGAAGCCCACACAAGAGAGAGACAGAGAAAGCAAAAGAGAGAGCAAGAGAGAGAGGGACCCGGCAGGAGGGAGTTTTTATAGCCCAAATCTAATGAGTTATCTGGGTCTGCAAGCTGCCTTGTTGGCACAAGGGGGGTTAAGTGTTTGGCCTTGAGCAGGGGGTTGAGTGTTCAGCCTTAAGTGGGGGCTTGGGCATTTGGGCTTGAAGCAAATAGTTGATAAAGAACCAGACAGAGGGTTTGAGAGGCCTGGTCACCCTGCAGCTAACTTTGGCATGCCCTCTAAACAGCTTACTCAGCCTGTCCTGCAGACAGCTTACTCAGCCTGTCCTGCACCTAACATTCCTCCCTGTTTGTTTTTCTAAGTGACATGGGGGACGGCGTAAAGTCCTCTGGCTACTTCCTGCTTAATGGTGGGCAGCGTTGGACCTAGAAGGGGAAGTCGAGGAATGTTCGGGGGACAGGTCTGAGAATACCAGGGCAGCCAGAAATAAAACCCAGTGGCTACAGACAACTGCTTTGGTAGGGGTAAAGTCCATAAAAGTTCCTTGAAGCCACAAGTCATCGATGGCATCAAACCAGTCCTGGCCGGAGGAGATTCTTGGTATCAGCCACTAGTTCTGTAGCAGGGATTCTAGGAAGTATTGGAGGTGGCTTTGTTGAATCCAGTAATGTTAAGGGTGGACAGCCCAATTGCAGCCAGTGGAAGGGCAATCACCTTGACCCATAAACTGAGAGTGGGTGGTGTCATCCTGGTGCCATGTCACTTGGAATGTAGAAGCGGCATCTGTGGTTTGAGATAAAAATTTGAGAGAGAATAATGATTAGTAAAAGAAGAAAAGGGTTGGCAAGAAATTTTGAGTTTGGTGGGTGTGGTGGAAGTCCAGGATTGGACATTTGGAATAGGTGCCTTTTTAAGGCGGGAGACATGGTACCAGTGAGAGTGTCTAAAAGCTTGGTCACCATTGGGGTAGTAGGTATGACTGTATGGGGTCCCGTCCATTGAGGTTCCAATGATTGAGAATGCAGTTCCTGAAGTAAGACTGAGTCACCGAGTTGAAGAGAGTCCAATTCAGTTTGTGGTTGTGCTAGGATTGAGGCAATGAATGGCGCAGGAAGGCACCGGTCTGCATGTTCCTTTAGGAGTTTGAGTAGAAGTGTGAGATAGGACAGGTAGGACACAAGGGGAGGAGGAGGGATTGAAAAGCTTTGGGTGGTTAAGAAAGGGCATCCATAGAATTGCTCAAAGGGGCTAAGGCCTGAGGGGGCCCTTGGGGCTGCCTGAATTCAGGGGAGGGCCAACGCAGGAGATTGGGCCAGGAGAGCCTGAGTTCAATAGCAAGTTTAGTGAGATGATCCTTGAGAATGCCGTTAGGCCTCTCAACCTTACCCGAGAATGGGGGTTGGTGGGGGATGTGGAGCCTCCAAGTGATGTTGAGGCCTTTGGAGACTAGTTGAACAACCTGAGAAGTGAAGGCCAGACTGTTGTCTGACTGGATGGAGGCGGGAAGTCTGAACCTGGGAATGATCTGTCAATGAGGATGGAGGTGACAGTGTCAGCAGCTTCCCTGGATGTAGGGAAGGCTTCTATCCAACCTGAAAAAGTATCAACCAAAGTAAGTAGGTAGCGAAGCTTTTTGTGCCTAGGCACATGAGTGAAGTTAATGTACCAGTCTTCGCCTGGCTGGTGGCTCCTCATCTGATGCCTGGGGAGTTTAGGTTTGACGCTTCCTTGTGGGGATGCTGTAGAGCAGACAGAACAAGCAGAGTGGACCTGCTGGAGAGTAGTTCTCATTCCTAGGAAGTGAAAGAGGGGTTGTAAAATCTGGAAAAGGGGTTAGAGAGGGTTTTAGGTGGGCGCAGAGTCTCTGCAGCTAGAGGAGTTGGTCATGAGTCGTAGGTCTCTGTCTTGGGCATCAGGGGCTGGTAGTTTTAAAGAAGTAGTTGATTGACAGACTGGTTGGTGAATTTGTGTATCTGATCTTGCAGGAACTTCTGTAGGCAGTTTAATGGTCATGGTCCTATTAGGAGAAACATAAAGAAGACTAACAAATAGGGGTCCTGTGACAGGGAGGAGCCAAGGCCATACTTGACTGAATATTCCCCATGGAGACTGTTAGCCTAGTTGCTGTCTCCTCTTTTCTAGCTGTTCTTGACCTTCATTACTCCCAGGAATGACTGTGTTTTGGCTTAACTGTCTTTGGTAGGTGTTTAAGATCAAGCTGGTCAAAATTGACTTTGTTTCTATCTATTGTTAAGAGTTAGCTGAGTTCCCATAGGGGTCACTCGTGGGGGAACTTGAGAGCAGCTTCGTAGTTCTGCTAGTGCTATTTGCGCTAGGATGGGTCCAGGTCTTGCTTGACCATGTGGCTTCCCTTGGAAGCATCAGGGATGTCTCCTGTCTCCCATGACCCTCCTATTCACAGCAAGTACACTGATTGGCTTTTCATTCTCCAGTGGTCTCATTAATCTCCCTGATCAGGAGGTTATGTGGCCCAGAGTTGCAAAGTACTTTAGAGAAGTCCCCTGTTCCCTGGTTTCAGACTGACTCAGAGGGCCAGAGCCAAATATTGGTTTACTTGGCCATTTTAATTTAACTTTAAGTCTTGATCGTAAACATCCTGCAAAGTCAGTTTCACCTTAAATTAAGAGTATCGGGCTTTAGCTGAAGTCTGGCCTACTTTGGAGTCATTCTAACATGTGGTAAGATGGGAGGCACAGCCTTATCTCAGGTAAGGCTAAGATTTATAAATCTTAGGTAAAGTGTTCTAGTATTGAAGCTGATCTTTGTTTTTAAATATCACTTTATAAAGATTACATATATTGTTGTTCGAGGTCACATGAATACCAGCTAACACAATATATTGCATTTAAATTGTACCCAGTTTATAGAACTTTATATTAATCTTATTGATAATAGGTCCAGTTATAGAAAATTAAATGATATAAATAAATCTCCAATATGTTATTTTTATAAGCCTAAAATTACCATGAAACCTTTTGGAGAACACCAGCTTGATATAATTTTTTAAAAGCTTCTATCTTAATTATTTTTATACCTGGAAAATATGAACATATTTAATATACAAAGAAGAGTAATAGAAGAAATAATATATTACCAATATTGCAAAATAACAGTTGTTGTTTAACCATAGTTGTATAATGCTTAATTCCTTCAAGATTACTTGCTCAAAAAATTTACATATATAACCAAATTACACAGAACTTCTTTATCACTTACTCAAACCTATATAGCCATCATACATAGACCTTCTTTATCACTTGCTTATACCCTCTTATTTACTTAATCATATAGAAACACCTTATCTAGAAACACCTTTTCCTTCTATTAAATCCATACTTAGAACCTTCTAATTTCTCTTTCCCCTCTGTTAACTCCTTCTTTATTCACACTTTGAAACAATCCTTGTAAATTTATGAATTTAGGCAAGTTATTCCATTTTAATAAGAGATATTTTCTTACTTGCATTACACAATTAATCACATCTGTTTACCATTTCATGAAAACGTGAACAATGTTTAAGTATATAGAATTATACTGTTGTAGGGACGGACAAGGCAAGGCACCTAAGATAGCAGTGAAGATAGGGAAACAGTCTTATTTGGTTGCAGATTCAGAGGACACAGCCTCTGCCATAATCAATTAACCCCCTGAACCCCAAGTTTAGGTAGTTTCAGAATTTTGCACCCAGCATGTAAGGGGAGGGGCTCAGAAGTTCACAGTCTGCAGAAGTTCACAAAAAGCAGTTTTCTTTCTTTTTTTCTCTGTTCTGGGCAAGTTAACCCTTCAAGGACACCTGGGAAGGGGAGAGCTTTTTCTTCCCTTTCTTTCCTCCCCCTGCCAGCTGTTACCATGGAGCCCAGTTGGTAACTTCCTTATCTTAGAAATGTAGTCAGCACTATGAAGCCCAGCTCAAGGCCAGAGGCCTTGTTTACATATTTTTGTGAAAAACTAGTAAGGAGGTGTCTAGCTTTTGGAGTGCTGATTTTTTCCAGACAGTAGCCAAGTAAAACAGGGCAACATGAAAATAGGAAGTTTATCTACATTAAACTCTTTTGTAGAGATTCTTTTGCTGAAAGTCCTAAAATCAGCCATGGTGAAGACTTCTGGAGAAGGTCAGTTAAGACTTTTCTGTGGGCCTGGTAGGGAGGGGGAAGACGGGAAGGCGGGGCTGACAGCAGCTCCTTTCGATCTGAGAATGAGGAAGGAGATGTGAAAGAATAATGGGAAAGGGGTTTGGGATTTTCCCTAGCAAGGAAAACTTGAGCAGAAGAACAGGTAGAGCAGAGGGGAAGACGGGAATGAATATCCCAAAAAGCCTGTAAGGGACTTTAATTCTTAGTAACCTGTTTTCAGTGATGACAAAGCAACTTTAAAGGCCATTTCACCAGATCTTGGATAGGGGTCTGAGGGCTCTCCTCAGCTCATTTGAGCTTTGGGTTAGCTGGTAAAAGGACCTGGTGGGACCCGGTGTGGGTGCTAACAGTAGAAGAGAGGAGTGAGTGGGTAAAGGGATTCCTTTAGTAACTGCTACCTCAGCAAGGGGGCAACGGTCTGAGGAAGGGTGGTGGTGTACGTTTTTGATCTAGTAATTGGAGGAGAGAAAGCAGGTTACCGAGGTGGGAGTGATGGCGGAGAGTCTGGGGCAGAAGGCTGAGGGTGAGGATCTGTTGGAGCTGGGCGATAGGGTGGAAATTCATCCGCAGGGTCAAAAGAAGTGGATGAGTCTGGAGGAGGAGGAGATTGGGGATCGGTGGTTGGGGGAGTTGGTTTGCAAGCTAGACGAATTTGTAGAGGGTTGCAAGAGGTGCAGAGAGCACAAGCAGGAAGAAAGCTTTGACATAGCAGCTCTCTACCCATTTTTTCCAATGCCCACAGTAACAGTAGAGATCCCTTAGAATGGAGGGATCCAGGGACCCAAAAGGGTGCTATCTGTTTTGGTTGTCTAAGGGATAAGTGGGCCAGGCCTGGGTGCTATATTTGATCAATTTTGGGGGTTTGATGTCTGGTGTCAAGGAGAGGGTTTTGAGGTTATCCAAGAGGCATTGTAGGGGAGAGTCGACCGGCAGAGAGGACACATTACCCATGTCACAAAGTAGTATAAGGAGGAGGGAAGGGGATGCAAACTTGGTATAGAGGAGAAGGAAGGAGACGCAACTGTATATATAAGAGAGAAGGAGGAAACTGATTTATTGGCAAAAGGGGCGTCCTCGCTAGAGCCAAAACTCAGGAGTGCCTTAGTGGCAGGTTCGAGCTGCAGAGATTGGTCGTCACCGAATCCTGACAGTCGAAGCTCTCGTCCTGGACGGAGCTGGAGCCTGTGGGAGACCTTGGCCAAGGCTTTTCGGGACCCCTCCTAGAGAGGCCGGATACTCCCAGGGCCGGAAAGAGGGGAAAGAGAGAGACAGGGGAAGAGAGAGGAAGGGAAGGGTAAGGTTCTCTCTGGAGGCCGAGTCTTGAAGGTGTGAGGACTAGGATTTTAGGAGAGTCACCAAAATCGTGAGGTCTGGGTAGGATGTGATGTTAAGTTCTCTGTTATGTGTCCCTGGAGGTTTCACAGTCTTTTGAGGGAGACCTAAGAAGCCTATGCTGGTAAATTACCAGCTGGGAAGGAGAATAAATTTGAACCCAAGAGTCTAATCTGCCCAAGAAGGAGTCCCTGAGGGCCATCGTGGCCTTGAAGGCTGTGGTGGGGTGTGTTCCTCCCCGCAGGTGGGCAAACAGGTTTGCCGGACAATCAACAGCCAAATCCTGCCGACATCACCATTGGGTTTAGGACTCCAGGAAGGGGAAACTCACCAATCGAAGGTAGGTTGTGGATGTAGTTCTGGCAATCGAGAAAATAGGTTCAGGTCGTCGGGTGAGTGGCACTTCCGAAGGAAGAGACCCAAAAGTGGGTTTTAACCCTCTCCCGGGTTTCGACATCAATGAAAGGAAAGTGACCGCAACACTCAGAGTGACCAAGAGAGCTTTATTGCAGCAGTGCAACAGAGGAGAAGAGAGAGAAAGAGAAGGAGAGAGAGAGAGAGAGAGAGAGAGAGAGAGAGAGGAAGCCCGCACAAGAGAGAGAGAAAGCAAGAGAGAGAGGGGCCCGGCAGGAGGGAGTTTTTATAGCCCAAATCTAATGAGGTCTCTGGGTCTGCAAGCTGCCTTGTTGGCACAAGGGGGGTTAAGTGTTCGGCCTTGAGCGGGGGCTTGGGCGTTTGGGCTTGAAGCAAATAGTTGATAAAGAACCAGACAGAGGGTTTGAGAGGCCAGGTCATCCTGCAGCTAACTTTGTTTGGCATGCCCTGCAGACAGCTTACTCAGCCTGTCCTGCACCTAATAGGTGGTCAGGCTGGCAGCAGGGCCCAGGGGACTCAGTGCCAGAGGGGAGTCACCAGCCACCTGCAGAAATGTCAGGGCTCTCCTATGAGCTGTTCATCTCCAGGCATGGAAACCCTCAAGGATCTGGCTTTCTTTCTTCTTTCACAACCATTTTTGCACCTGTGGGAAAGACTGTGGAAACATCTGGGTAAATGAACGCAAAGAACAAGAAATTGAAGCAAAGCCCGTCTCCACCTCAGTCCACGGTCCAAGTTTGTCTTGGGCCCTGGCTGAGAATTCGGGGACTACTCACTTCATTGCATGACTCTGGTAAATGAGCTTAAGACCCCCACCTTGCTCTGGCCAACATGAAGATCCTGAGTTTCACTCACAGTGTTGATGACAGGTGGCATTGATTTTGCATATGTGGCAGGAAACAGGGTGGCAGGTAACAGGCTTGCCTTAGAGCACAAGGCACAGGAGTCACACTTGTCCCCACAGAAGCCCTTCCTTGGTGGCCCAGAGACCACACCCCTCCTGCCTCCAGCATCCTGAGGTAAAGAACATGTCGGTGAGCAGGAGAGTGCTGGGAACTCTCAGTCAGGTGGGGGGATCCTGGCTTTAACAGCGTCCCCATCCCCACCATTGCTAGAGCAGGTCTCCTGCGCTCAGGATGGCCTCAGCACCATCCCCTCACTCTCACACTCTTTAGGATTCCCCAGGGTGTCTAGGAGGGAACTCTTCCTCACTGAATCCTGGGCCCGAAACAGAAATCCCAGACCAGAGAACTCACACCCCTCACCCTGACATTTTCTTCTTTCATTCCAGGACCATTTTGGAATTCACACACTTTTTTTTTTCTTCCGGAATTTCAACAGAAGTGTATCTGGCTCCATACTGGTGGCTGGAGGCCATCAAGGGACTGAACAGAGAGAACCAGGCCATCTGGGGCACAGGTGGCTGTGGGGGAGGAAGATGGTGGGCAGCAATGAGAAGTGCTTGTGTGGTGGGCTCATGGGTGGGTGGGGAGGCGGGGCCAGAGCAGAAGCAGAGCTCCTTGTGGAGTGGGTGGGTGGGGTGTGATTGTAGCATGACAGAAACCTGCAGGCTGTGAGGGTCAGGGATGCAGGTTCCAGAGGACAGGGACTTGCAGGCAGGGGCCTTCCCACAAGTGCCTGGTGAGGCTGGCACTGATGTGGCATCACCAGGGAAGGGAGGAGGCGGTAACTGAGCAGGGGCGGTTGCAGTTTGTGCTTGCACTGAAGACCTGGGAGGGCTCCCACCCACCAGGACTCCCACCCAGGTGCCAGTGAGGTGGGAGACACTGTGCGCTGGAGGGTTGGTGAAGGTGTTCCTGCACCCACTGTCTGACAGGGTCACAGTGTGGGGGATGCTGTGGCAGGGCCGCACCGTCTGGAAACAAGAACCATGAGGAATGTTCAGTGTTTTGGTTATGATACTGATGACATGGATAACAGGGCATAGGTCAATCAATAAGAAAAGTACGTATTGCCTGAGATTGCACGAAAATTCCCAGAATGAGACTAAGGATACAATTAAGACATACCACCAACAGACCCTCCTTCGCCTTACACAGGAATTTATGATGAAAATGGGGAAAACATAGTTGGCATTAATGGCAAATGGGTTGAGGCGCAGAGCCTGCCCTTTAGTTAAAGAATACTGGGTGTACTTTGACCAAGGATCAAAAAACTCTTTAAGAAAGCAGTTAAATGGGTCATATGAAAAAAGGAAATTACCTTGGAAATTAAAAATAATGTAAAATTAACATAGTTATATTTTAGAGGCACTTCAGAGTAGTAGGCTTTTAAGTAATAGGCTTTCACTATTTTAAGTGTGTTTCACTGGGACTTTAGAAGTAAGAAAGCTTACCAATAATCATAGGTATGCTTTAAAGTTAAAGGTTAATGAAATAATTATAGGTATGCTTTAAAGTCAAAAGTTAATAATAGGTCAAGAGACATGTAGCCGAGTTGCATGTTCTAGCACCTAGTGATTGAGGTAAAAATGTAAGAGCTTAATCACGATTGGCAAAGGTTACAGGAAAATATTTTAAACAATGTACTCAATATCTTAGGTAATCAATATATGTCAGAAAGGATTGTAACTCTTGAAAATTATGTAAATCAAAGAAGTTCGGGCTTTGAGGCTATCCATTAACTACCTGCAAAAAAGGTATAAAAATAAAGGCCCTTCTACGGGCAGCAGATCCTCCTGGAGGCTGCTGTAACATGCAACCTGTCCTCCTGTCTCTTGTTTTGCGGAGGCCACTCATCCTTCAGGACCCCTGGATCCCTGATGGGGCTGGACCCAAGGCATCGGACCCCATCAGGAGCCCACAGCTTGGGTCCAGGAAAGAGGATGGGGCCCCTGAGGTGGGGAGGCTCACTGGATTGCGTCCATCTCCCAGGGAGACCAAGCATGATTTGCTCATGGCCTGGACTGGCGAGCATCAGAGACCGGCTAGCCGTGGACCCTGGCCTTCCTGACCACAGTGATGAAGCTGGAGCCCTCCGTGGGCAGCGCGTTGGGGAAGTCCCTGCTGAGACACAGTCCCTCACAGGCTGGGTCTGAGGCGTCTGTTGGATATTCCTGTCGAGGGGTGACCTAATTGAGTCTGAGGTTCAAGAGGCAAATCTGGAGTTCGCCGTCATCCAGATGCGGCTTCATCTTGGGCTGACCGAGCCCCCCACGGCAGACGTGTAGACTGGGAAGTGGAGACGGCTAAGTCTGGTACATGGCTACCTTGAGAGATGGGGGCACGAGGAGGGGGCGGCGGGGTGGGGGGGCGTTCTAGAAGCCGAGAGAACTTTCCTCGGAGAAGGTAAACACAGCCAGGGCCAGGCCAGGGTACTGGGTCGCTCCGAGGCTCGCAGCCTCCCAGCTACCTCTGGGATGGGTGGCCCCTGTTTGCAGCCCTGTAGGTGCTGGCCCTGCACCAGACGCCACACCCACGACCTCTGCCCGGTGCTCCAGGTGCAAAATGGTCAGAAATGAGCTCAGGATGGAGAATGAGCAAGGAGTGAGCAGGCCAAGGCACCATGGGGGGACAGAGCCGCGGCCCTCGCAGGTGTCAGAAACACCGGGGCCACCAAGGCAAACTGGACTTCTGGCCCACAAAGTACACGAGCAAGCGCACTGGACGGGCATCCCCCGGATTCCTCCCAAGGCAGCACTGTCGCCTGTCCTGACAGGAGAGCTCTGAGTTACAATCTACACGGGGCAGGGCAAGGGGAAGGCTTGGACGACAGGTGTAACTCGACGGAAAAGAACATGAATCTTACAGCTTCCTCTTATTCCATCGATTTATATTCTTCACACCTGGTTCACATCGTTCGACTTTCACTTTCAACTGTATCTAATGAAAGATCATTTTGACATGGGACCCGGTTTATGGAGACCCTTCTCAGCTGCGGAGTCAGACCGCTCCTAGGGCAGGATTACAGAGGTCCCACCGTCCACCTGAGCCCAGCACTGCGTGAGACGCTTCCTCTCTTCCCCTGTCGGGCCACCCGCAGCATCCAGGGGTGCCGCACTTCCCCACAGCGTCTCTGTGTCCCTGATAAACCTTTGTTGATCATAGTCGATGTAATTAATCCAATCTACATTTTGGTTTGCAGTAGACCACCAAAAGTCAACTGACTCAAAACTGCTGCAATCTGACCTCGGGCCCTGAATTTATCAGGGACCCCTCAAGGGACTCCAAGTGAATCTACATAAATATGGTGATCAAATGACCACCTGGGAAGAGAGAGATCCCTTTTCCTCTTAAAGGGCTGAGACTGATCTGCCTGGAGAAGTGTCGGGGTGGAGGTGACACCACTGGGTACCGGTGACAAGTCCTCCTTCCCCACATGTTGAATATGACATTAGACAAGACGCCGAGCCAAGCATATACAGCAGGGTTTATTTAAAAGGGGAGGAGGGGAGAAGGGGGTCATAGCAGGTGTCCTGGTACCCCAAGAAGTGGGGGTGCCCTGCCTTTTTATATGTCTTAGGATCCTTTGTTCTGCTCTCTTCCCCTTATCTTCGTCCCTCCTGCATACAGGACTAGGCCCAGGAAATGATCAGTGGGATGGCCAAAGGGTGGGACACGGGTGGGCTGAGGGGGCAGAGCAGGACGGAGCAGCCCAGCATGCGTTGATTAACTTTACAGCTCAGTGTAGGGAGGGGCGAGTCCTGGGACAGGGTAACTCAGCACAGGTTGGGGCAGGGCAGGTTATCTCAGTAGGGTGGAGGAAGGGCTCTGCAGGCATTTCAGTCCCTCAGGGGAAGTCTCCACTTCCTGGACTCACTGGAATTGGCCTCCCTGACCGACCTGACTCAATTCACCCATCTATACTGACTGCCTGTCTAGCTCTGGCTTCGAAAGGGAGCCAACTCCACCAAAATGTGGGCTCCACTCGAATTGGCAGGTGAGGAGGTCTCTAGTACTGGACCTCCACAATACCACCAGCACCTGCCAAGCTAGAGAAAGTGCCACGTGATTAGACATCTCCTGAAAGGACAGGCTCTCACTGCATCAGATATATTTCCCAGGAAACCAACTGCCCCCACCTACCCACACCCTAGAGAGACAGGACGTGTAACTGGCTCCAAGGGAAGGAGGTTGGATGGTCTTTGGGGACACTTGCCTTGGGCCCTTAGATACCAGGAACAACAACGATAGGGTCCTGCAAGATTCATTTCCCCAAGTTGTCTTCCTGAAAGAGGGATCTCATAGAGCTCATGCCCATGGGTCTGAGGTCCATCCAGGGGGGGCCTCCCGAGTCTCCAGGCTCCCTGTTGAGCAACAGAACAATTGCCTTTATTTCATGCATGAACAGAACTTTTAACTCCTTCCATCCGGGCTTTTGCCTCATGTAGCCAATTTCTACTTTAAAAGTTAGTTGTAAATCTCTGACTTCTAAGATACCCATAGTGACATCATGATTAAATCTCCAGACATTAATTTCCCCAGAATCTGCTGGACAGTGATATTGGTTTGCCCCAGATAATCTCCCTAGTTATGTAGGTCTCCACAGGGGACAGCCTGACAGGCTTCAACTTAACCCAGAGGCAGGTGGTCCAGGTTACATTAATGATCAACTTACAGGATGGGATTTTCCACGTCACTATGATGCCATTAGAGTCCTGTCAAGGTTGATGGGGTGGGCTCTGGGGGTGGACTGAGGTCACTACTTCCCCCGTGGAAGCTGAGGCTCCTGTGCTCCTGCACAGAGGCCAACTCTGTCCTGCGATCCAAAGGGCCATCTCGGTCGTGAGCAGGACTTGGCAGGGCCCTTCCCAAGCAGGGTCCAGCCGGTTTTCCTCCCAGACCTGGATCAGGATGTGGTCACCTGGCTGATGTGACTGTGCAGGAAACCCCAGAGGTGGAGCCTGCACCAGGAGGCCCTGCAACCTTAGGGAGGACAAAGCAGAGGAGACCCAATGTGTACTTCTAGGAAACTGAGCCTTCGTTTCAAAGGTGGGGAAACCGTTGTGTTCCTGGATATGGCCACCCAGGGAACAGCTCACGTGGGGACAGCCTCCAACTCTCCAGGGAGAGGTTCTAAGTCAGAGGAGGGCAGTGGGGGGTGTCCAATCCAGGGGGGGCTTTGTCTCCAATATCAGCTTAGTGGTTCTTCTCTTGAGAGTTTGGTTCTTTCTCTCCACCTTTCCCGAGGAAGGAGGGTGCCAGGGGTGTGATATTCCCATGTTATATTGAAGGTTTTCTTGAGTTCTTTAATAATGGTGAAATGGCCTCCATTATCTGAATCTGTGTTCTTCTTCAAACCAAGTCAAGGGATTGCAGATTCCAACAAGACCTTGGCCATGTTGTTGGGAGTGGTGCTAGGCAGGGGGATGGCATCTACCCAGCTGGTTAAATGCTCTACTATTTGTGGAGAGCAGTAACAGTGAGAGAGCAGTGTCTGAAATTGGGGTCCCTGATGACTTCATGGCTGTGGCAGGCTCGGTGCCTGGGGAAGGGTCTGTGCAAAGGTGC